TCTTTTTAATCACATAATAGAGTATTGTCATCAGTATGACATAAGTATACCAGGTTTGGAGTCGATACCACCTCCAATTATACACCCCACTATCATCACCCCATGAAGAGTCTTGTGGAGTGGTAAGTACTGTGCAGTAAATACTACAGGAACTTTATACAGTCGGATATTTTTTTTGTCTATTTGCATGTTTATTTATGGGAATTTCACAGTCAACAAATTTAAAAGCCTAAAAATATATATACATTTACGCATCTAAAAATAAAATGTTATGCAAAAAAGAGTGCAAAAATAAGCTATTGTGTAACAATGCATAACCAAAACACGGATATGGATCTGAACCGAATACATTCCTGTAGAATTGAAGTGGCATTCGCGCAGAGACGCAGGGGTCAATGGCTGTCGCACATCCATTGACCCCTCATCCCCCCCCCGCTCCTTCACCCTCAGGACCACTGACCCCCCTGCTATTCCTAAGCACCCAGGAGCTAACACATCCCCCTGCCTTCCCTTGAACCCCTCCAAATCCCCTACAACACCTAGGAATCCGACCTCATCCCAAATAACCCACACTTCCACCAAAGCCCTCCCCCCACCACTCCCTATAATCTTCTCAGCCCCTAGGAGCCCTCAACACAACACCCCACAACTCCCTTAAGAGCGCCGTCACATTCCTCAGCACCCCCTCCTAAAACACCCAAGCCCTGAAAAACCCCCGTAGGACCTCCCATCCCCTACAACACACCAACACTCCTCCTCCCCCACCGAACTGCGAGAACAACGCCGCACAACAGCTCCTGCAGCAGTCCGCCTCGGGGTGTCCCGGGAGCAGCAACTCCGCGCCCTGCGGCCGGGCTCGCATGACCCCCACCCCCACCTCCTCCTCCTCGCCCCCCGTGGAGAATAAAGCCAAAAGTTCGATCCACTAAATGCGAGCCACCTGAAGTTGTACCAAAGGACACAACAACCTTCGTTCAATGGGCGAGACGATAGAGCTTTCGGTGGTCGGGCGCAATCGTTTGTGCCGTGTATTTTCTGCTCGGGTCCGCGTTAAGAGACGCTCGGGTCAGTCGATGTTTATTAAGAGGGCTCTCGTCCGAAAAACACGTTCACTTTCTCTTGCGTGTCCGTTTCTGTTGCAAGAGGGGTTGGGTTTTTTTACCTCTTAGTTTTAACGTTAACTGTTGTGTGTGTGTGTGTTTTTTTTACGGTACTGGGATCGTGTCGCAACGCGCCGCGTGAGAGGCCTTGCGTGAATGGCGATGTCTATAAACGCGAGTTTATACTCACAAGGGCTCAGGGAGTCGTGAACGAAGACGCGGAAACAAAAACGCCGAGTCACCACCACCACCACCTCCTCCTCCTCCAACCCTCGCCCCGGTAGCCGCTGCAACGCAGCCACGGGGTCGCCGCCACCACCACCGCCACGCCGCGGGACTCTCGCTTCGACCACGACCTCTGAACCCAACAGCCGCGCGCGTCACGTGACCGACGATGTTGGGGGTGGGGGGACCCTCGCCACGTGACAAGCAGCCTGCCCGCGATCACGTGACAGAAGCAGAAGCCTGCCCGCGGTCACGTGACGGAACAAGGTAGGGCTGCCCGCGGTCACGTGGCAGGGTGTCTGGTTTTTGCGTCACGTGACTCGGGGCCGGCATCGTCGGTCCACGGAGCCGGGGGGGGGGCGACGGGGGGGGGCGACGGGGGGGGGGGGGGGGCGACGGGGGGGGGGGGGCGACGGGGGGGGGGGCGACGGAGCCGGGGGGGGGGGCGACGGAGCCGGGGGGGGGCGACGGAGCCGGGGCGGGGGGGGGGCGACGGAGCCGGGGCGGGGGGGGCGACGGAGCCGGGGGGGGGGCGACGGAGCCGGGGGGGGGCGAGCAGAGGGAGCTGACACTGACTCACTCACACATCATACACTGACTCACTCACACATCATGCACTGACTCACTCACACGTCATGCACTGACTCACTCACACGTCATGCACTGACTCACTCACACGTCATGCACCGACTCACTCACACGTCATGCACTGACTCACTCACACATCATGCACTGACTCACTCACACATCATGCACTGACTCACTCACACGTCATGCACTGACTCACTCACACATCATACACTGACTCACACACACATCATACACTGACTCACTCACACATCATGCACTGACTCACTCACACATCATGCACTGACTCACTCACACATCATGCACTGACTCACTCACACATCATGCACTGACTCACTCACACATCATGCACTGACTCACTCACACATCATGCACTGACTCACTCACACATCATGCACTGACTCACTCACACATCATACACTGACTCACACACACATCATACACTGACTCACACACACACACACCATACACTGACTCACTCACACACCATGCACTGACTCACTCACACCATGCACTGACTTACTCGCACATCATGCACTGACTCACTCGCACATCATACACTGACTCACTCACACATCATACACTGACTTACACACACACCATACACTGACTCACTCACACACCATGCACGGACTCACTCACACATCATGCACGGACTCACTCACACATCATGTACGGACTCACTCACACATCATGCACGGACTCGCTCATCATGCGCTTACTCACGCATCATACACTCGCACAACCACTGACCCATTCACTCATCATACACAGATTCGCTCATCGTGTGCTGGCTCACTCGCACATCATACACTCACACTGCTGCTGACTCGCTCACACATCATACACTCACTCATCATGCGCTAAGACATCGTGCGCCGACTCACATCATACACTCACTCAACCTAATACTGACTCAATCATCATACGCTGACTCGCACATCATACACTCACGCTGCTGCTGACTCACTCACACATCATACACTGGGAGTGTCGTGCTGCCAGCTATGGCTGCAGGTTTTTGTCGTACGTGTTATGTATATCGTTTATTGTTAAATTTAAAATCACAGTTCCTATGATTACTGTTGTTACATTGTTTTTGTAGCTTTATTTTGGTCTGGTTGTGGTGTAATAGTTTTCTGCAATGTAGATTCATATTGTGTTTGTTGCGGTTGCACCCGACTTTACAGCCGCATGGCTCACAGGGCTATACCTAATAAATTAAACTTGAAAAAAGGTCAAGGTAAGTGACGTCACGCCCGCTGCAGACGGGCGGCCGCCGAGGTTCGGGGGGTGGCACGTGACTCGGGCTTACTAAATAAATGTCCGGCTAGGCGAGCACGTGGGTGACCTAGATCAGTCGTGCCATGCACGCATCCCCAAATCTTACAGTGATTCGATATGAAAACAATTAAATTGAGCTGTGACTTTGTTTTGCTGCTTTGTACACGCTTGCACAGGCACCGCGGTGGAGAGATAGTCTCTTTCGCCTGGTGTGCAGGTCGTGGGCTCGATCCTGACGCCTGTTTTATGCAGGGACTCCACTTACGAACATTCGACTTATGATCTTTCAACGACGAACCTGTCCGTATGTCCAGCTGCCTGTTCGGACCAAGAGTCCTAAGTTCAACCGCCGTGCAATAGATGGTGGTGGCATCTACATCTGCAGAACATGAAGAACCAGTGGCATATACAGATTATACAACTTTTAAAGCCATTCCCTGTGTTTAGTGTACATGTCATACATGTTTGGAATCGACAAGAGTAAAGTTGGACCGACAAACCTTCATAAGTAGGAGTCCCTGTATTTGAAGTTTGCATGTTCTCCCCGTGATCACGTGGATTTTTCTCCAAGTCCAGTTTTCCCTCCACATTTAGAAACATGTTTAGATTGGCCGATATAAATTTCCCCGTGATAAGCGACTTTGTTGAGCAATCATGTGGCCAGGTCGCTTCTAAACAAAGAGCAACATTGCTCAGTGGGTTTTAACTGGTAAGTAAAGTTTTCAGTTTTTGCACTGTTACAATCGGCAGAAAATGTATGTACTTGTGCAATTTGTACTTATATACTTTATATTTATTTTAATGCTTGTGTAGTGGGTTCACGGAGAGTAGAGACGGCTTTGAGAGGCAACAAGTTTATTCCAATAACAGTAACGATCCCTAATACCAAGAGGTAGCAGCAGCCCCTCCACCCGATACCTGGGGAGGTATAGCCTTCGGGCTAGCTGTGCCCTATCACTGGGGCTACGTGCTCTCAGCCCTCCGGCTAAGGGGTCCTAGGGGAGGCTAGCTGACCCGACCCAGCCAAGGTCCTTGGGTCCCAACCACTGGCCCACTCGGTCCCGGCCCTGAGAAGGACGTCGGGTCTGAGGGTTCTCAAGGTCCTAGCCTAAGCAGGTCTTCAGTCTTCAGTTTGACGATGACTGCTGGACTCATCTAGGGGCCCGGCTTTATACCCGTTCCAGGGTCTCTCCGCTCCTAGCCACGCCTTCCTTCTGGAACTATCTAGGGGGCTCTGGAATATTCCCCAGCCCCTCTCTTGGGGTCTGGGGAGCCCTATTGGCCCAACGGCCCGACTCATCTTACCCATTCAGTGTACCACCCCCTATTGACACATGTCCGCTACTACAGGTAAGGCTGAATGGAAAATGTACAGTGCCCAACCATGCAACTACACTTGCGTACATTTTCTCTATTGCACTCCTATCGTTGTTTGTATTGTTTGTTGTTACTCATTAATCCCCTATAGCCCCTACTGGACATCTGTGAAGAATAGTTAATCAGATTACTCAAGTCAAAATAAAGATTCTGATTCCGAGTCCACTGCTGGATGAGGGCCTGATACGTTTAAGTGCAGGGATACCATGCGTGTATAGTGATTGTGCCAGGAACCTAGTCCACGACTCGCATCTAATATCAACTTGTAACGCGTACCAAGATTCACTCGTTCATTAAATGTCTATTGTGTTCATCAAAGGTGCCCATTTGGCAAGGCCGAGTTCAGTGAGATATTTTGTTTAGCCAATGTCAAGCCAACAGATGGCATCACATGACCGTTTAAAATAATGGGTGCACTCAAATCAATTTAAGAGATTGACTACTAAATTATAGCCATGGAGTAATCAACTTTAATTTAGGGTACTGCAGAGAAACGAAAAAAACATGAACCCTCGTCACCCCACAAAAACAAGCAACATGTTCTGCGAATGCTGTAACATGTGGACAGATGCACATGACAGGAATTACACATCCTGAAGACAATGAACCATTTCACATTTGGGTTTAAAAAAAAAATTAACCATTTTCCTATACACATCTATAAATATTACTAAAATATCTCAAGACATTTTAATTTTTTGCAACAAATATACACACCCTTTTGTAGCAAGACAAAAATATTGGTCCATAAACAAGCTCCGATAAATGGCAATACAGTACGTACTACAAGTGTCACAAAGCAATATCGGTATTAAAATGCTACTGCCAAAATGCATACACACATGCAAGCCAGGTGGCATACTTAATCAATCTTAATCACATAGTTTTACAACGGTTAAGCTTTCAAGATGAGTTGTTTTTCCCTCGACCACGTCGACCTTATTACAAGATATTAAAACAAAATCCCAACTCTCAGAGGATGACATGAACGCCTCTCCCAAAGCAGCAATGAAGCATTGGTGGTCGCCTACCAGTCTCTCACTACCCAATTTCATATATTTTAATCTGGGTGATTGCACCACCACCAAGAAAACATGTCAGTTAATCTCCAGAGAGCATGTGGTTCCAACTGTGGAATGCTTCCACGAGTGTCATCGGCAGCTGCTAAGATGAAACTGCAGTTAGTGGAGACATTTCCACCAGGGTCTAGAAAACCAAGGGTAACGTGGCGATGCCTAGACCGTATCCATACAGAGTGGCATCTGCCACACAGCAAACCAAAGTAGGGGGGGGGGTGGGGAGTCGTTCTCCATCTGGCCCAGGGGTAGGCAACCTGCTGCTCCGGAGCCACATGCGGCTCTTTAAGGACTGCTTCCTGACGTTATTTATTCTGGACCGTCTTGTATCCACATGCATTGCAGCTCTTGAAAGTGAGATTTTTACCGAATTAGAAAACAAATGCTCTTGTTATTTTGGTTGACGACCCCTGGGCTATCTCGACCAGGCCAACAACACCAACTGGTCTTCAAAGAGCAGACGATGCCTCACTCATCTGCTCCAGCGTAGTCTGTTAGAGGAACAGTGCACACCTGATAATTTAAGCACCAATGCTGACAGTGCATGGGACTATGCCTAAAATTATCGTTATTGATCTAATTTGTTATGATGGGCATGAAACGAATGAGCTGGAGGGGTGATCAATTTCCCTTGTCAATGTGTCCAATGCTTATACAATCACAGTCCATTATGACAGGTTTCTTGGTTAACTTTGCCCATCAATAGGAGGCGAATGCAGGAGCAGTCTGCAATCTGTTGTGACAAAATGGCTCCATTTGTGGATCATGGCGCATGCATCAGTACATAAAGGTCTATAAATACAGACAATATAAATAAGGATGCTTTTACATAATTACATTATTTACTTGCAACTGCGTATGCCGTGGTGAATCGCTGAATAGCAACCTGTCAGCAACAAGCCCAAACATTTCTCTGCCTCAGACTTTGGGAGGCCATCACACAACTTGTACTTTTCAAGCCAACAACACTCAACCTTAAATATTGACTAGAATACATTACTATCGATAAACATGTGGAATTGGTGTTAAAAAACGTTTAAATGGACCAACTCGTAGGTTTTCATTTTACCCCTGATTAGTTTTAAAGAATGCCACAAACACTTTCCCAGTGATCAAAGTTCAAATTCATCTCTCTTCGCCACCTGAAATTGGACAGAATTGGAAGGCTAATTTGTGCCTCAAGCCCACCCATTGCAGTTTAATTAAACAAAGTCACATTAGCCGCACGAGCAACGTCCTTCATTCTGTAATTGATGCAGGTTGTCTTTCTTGGAGACCGTGGCCATGTAGCATTGTGGACAATACTTAACTAAACTAAGTGGGGGCCAGACATGCGAATACATTCGGGTGGACCTAATGAGCTTTACACAATTTATATTCTTCAAAATGGGTGTAACCCATGCAATAACCTGACCATAAACTTTACTGTAGTTATGACAACACCTAGTGTGGGGCCAAGAAGGACGTTTCACTTTGGGGAGTGGGCATACCTCCTCATCGGTTCTCATGGTGTTGCAAAACCCAGCAGCGGCTTTTATTGCCTTGAGCTACAAGTGTTTACAATGGCTGCAATTATGGAAATACACCAAATAAAATATTATTGACGTTTTCCAAAAGATAACATGCTACAGGCCACTGACAAAACATATACTGACATTAACCATGTACTGTGATTCAAAGAGATGCTACAATTTGGCCAATTTTTCCACTTTGTAACTGTCAATGAAAACCGTACACACAAACGGCACCTAACAGTTTGTGTTTGAAGAAGCAGACATTTGGAAGGAAATGTATTATTTTACGAATCTTAAATCCCAAGGAGTAAAATTGATGACAGGGCTTTGACTGATCACACCATATGGATTTACCATCATAGAGACGTATGCGGAATCAACGTTTGGCAACATCAAGGGAGTGCTGTAAAAAATCATAACAAAAGTGCTCTCTGTGCATCTGTTGTTTTCTGAAGACCAACAAAACTTAGGTTTGCTCTACAAAACATACCTGTCTGTGTTAAACACCGAGTTCTGTACACCAGTGAATTATCTATCAATTAGTTAAAACCATAGCACAGTTGATGGATTAGAGGGTAATGCATTTCTTAATGTTGCTTATATACAGTATGGCTGCCCAGAGTGCCCCATCAATGTTTTCATAGAAAAGAGGCTTTAACAAATAAGTCAATGGATCAGTTTACAACGCATTGTGTTGTCTCAGATGCCAATAGAAATATTTATAATTTGCAAACAAATAAAAAATGCACATGGCGGAAATAACTACAGAATTATTTTTCTCCCAAATTTTTCGGGCCTTTTCCCACCCTTTAATTGTTGACAACAAAACTTGAAAAAAGAGTACTTGTTAACTAATAATTACTGCTGCAACGTTAACGTTTTTTTTTACATATCTGAATGTAATAAAACATGAAACCACGTTGACATTTTTTATAACATCCAATTTCTGTGTGTAAAGCAATACATATGGACCTGTAGCTTTACCTAAATTGTGAATCAACTGAAAATGTATTGCATTCATATTCTTGGGTCTTTTGGTCAAGTCACGTAAATAAAAAAATCATAGATCATGACGTTTCGATCGCAACACAAGCAATCGTCTGAATAACAGATCACAACGTCGCGATCTATTATTATTTTATTTACGTGACTTTACCGAAAGACCCAAGAGTATGAATTCCTGCAGTCACGAAAGCTTTAAATCAAGATGTATTGCATTATCTCCCAAAAGTGCAGGAAGTTAGACTGCCACTTACATTGCAATCCTGTGTTGCATTCCCTTTGGAATTCAATTCAGATGTTGATTTGTGAGTCCCTGGCTAAGACTAGATGCTGCCAGACATGTGGTCTGTGCCTACTTTTTTACATTAAAAAAAGTTAGTTGGCCTTTCTTTAATATTGGTAAATAAGTTGTTGTTTTTTTGTGGCACATTACCCAACAACGTTAAACTACCAGCACATTTGTAAAAATATATGTGTACCATGGCGTTAAAGCCACATGCAATTATACATCTGCTAATATGTAAACATGGGATCTGCTTTTCAGACCTACAATAATGATCATAACCCAGTGGAACCTTTTGAGATCAACAGTTACCAGTTTTTACTTTTAAAAATATAACTTATATACTCTATTTAACCCATTCCGCTATTGAACCACAACATTTCTTTGCAATTACAAACCCAAAAGACACCCCCAAAGTTTTAGATAAAACAAAAGTGTTAGAAAAAACTAGTAGATTATTTTTGTTTTCCTGTCTCAATAGTGTAATCGCCCTTTTTTGTCACCACGTTTCAAAAGTCATTGTCGGCTGGAGCGTCAGGCCTGTTTGCATAACCTGGGTTACGATCCGCACCCATGGCCCCATCTTCGTCATCTGAAATTAAAACAAAAGGGGGCTCTCGGTACACGCCACATGCACACACGACTACACAAGGCACTCCACTGCGGTAACAGGTGACATTTGCATGTCCTGGCCAGGAATGTAGTGCGCACAGTTCATTAAGAGTTTGCATGAACTGTCGATACAGAAAACACCCTCATACTGCAAGCTCCAGCCACTGTATGTATAAAACAGCAACAATGCATAAGAGTTGCAATTGTGATAACATCAAATGGCCACAATAACGCAACGGATATGCAACAGCTGATTAATTACAGCTCAGGGTCTTCCGTTGGGGCAGATGCAAACAATTTGTAATTTTTCATGACAAAATAATAATAATAGGCATGGAACGATTAATCAGTTCATCATTAAAAATTCAATATTACGATCGCAATAAATGCATCATATTCTGCATGTAAACATCGACAATGACCATTAGTTAAATATATACCTAAGTGTTAGGTATAAACTACTGCATCAAATGAGACCGTATAAACATGACAACAGATGAGAATACTAATTATTTGATGAAGCTGCATTGGCAGTAGTGCAAAAGCACGATTAACATATAACTATCATAGAATACAAGTGAAACCAACAGCATTAAATTCAAAACAATTGATTCTTGAGTAGAATCGTCACCCCAGAATGTGACAGTTCACAAGACAAACGTCTGATTTCGCATCTTCACTTGTGTAGCAAACACCATCGGAATGTAAGGGTAAGCAAATGACAACGAAAGATACTTTTAGTGCATGCATTATGGCGTTATGCAAGTTCAGCAACATGCAACTGTTGATACGTGGTGAATATTCAGTTAAAACTGTCAAGGGGGGTGGGGTCTATTAGCCTGGGAATAAAAAACAATCACAAACACACAACGATGTTAATTGTTGACTTTTTTTTGCAAGGGAAACTGCATGAACATAGCGATGGTTGTAAGAGCAGCTCATGCCATGAAAAGATTAGCAAGCCACATGACGCACCAAGCCACATGTACCTCAAGAGCAAAGCAAGAACGAGGGAAGAATTAAAGACACTCGGACAACTGACATTTCTCTATCCCAAATTCTTTGTAGTAAAGACAATCAGAGGCGTTATTGTGGATAGGTTGCCAATGGGGTACAGTTTCATGAGATTCTATCTTTTAAATACAAAAAACACTACGAATAAAAATCCAGAGACCTTGTAGGGCTCTTCCTGGATCAATAATGCACGACTCTGTGGTCAATTATGATTTGGATTCTTACAATGCGTACATCGAATCACGGAAGATTAAATATTTTTCAATATGCATATGTTGCATGAGTTCAGGTTATCCTTGCAACTGTTTGTGACTGCAAAATTGACCACAATATCAAAAAACAAGTTAGGAAAAAAATCATACATAAGCATGGATTATATAACGTTTTCCAACATGAGTTTGTCATTGGAAGTATTTAATCAACACTACAGAGGCTGGAGGGCTAGCTGTCAGGCGAAATTCGTTTTCATATTTGCAAACACTCCTCTTTGCTTTGTTTATGCAACACTTTCATCAATTTGTCTGGTTGTGAAAAAGGTAGATAGCAAAACAACGTTATACCTACAAAGTTCGTTAATGTTCGTTCATTTTTATGGAAGTTATTGAGTGCCTCCCTCCCCCGATAGAGACAATGCCTTCATTATTGAATATTATGTTTCGGTCCAGGTGAGTAAAGCGTGGGGGGTTTGCCCATTGACACCCGCATGTCAGCGTTGAAAGTGATTCGTGCGGTTAATTCGTACCCTTGGGTTTCCCTGCACGGGGCTGCCAACCCCGCTCACCTTGGTTGTCATCCTCCCCTCCGTCCCCGTCCTCCTCCTCATTGTAGGCCAGCTCAGCCTGCTTGTCTGCCTCGTACTCACCCACATTACCCCCGTCGCCCTCGTAGTCGGCTCTACTGGCCTGCGCTGGGTCTGCCTGACTGGGCCCCGACCGCGCAGGAGCCCCGGCCGCCCCAGCCAGCGATTCGCGGGAGAGGCGGCCTGAGGTCGCCGGCCGGCCGGTCGGTCAGCCAGCCGTGAAGGCGGTCACACGGTTGGCGAAGAAGGGAAACAGAACGAAGGAAGCCACAAGGGACAGATGCATAGAGGGAGGCCAGAGAACCGGGGTAAAGCTTAACCCGCTCAGCAACCAAAACCACTTTCTGCGTAATTTCAGACCCAATCTACAGCACACATTCTAAAAATACGAGGATGCACAAGGAGATGAAAAGTAAATGCCATCAGTAAAATTTAAGCAAGAGCACCTATAGCTTATTGTAGTAATAAAGTCGTTTTTTTTTTACAATGATGCTGTATCTGATGATACAACGAGACGACCATATCCCTTGAAATAAAATGATCACCTTTACAGATCACCACTTTCGGACGGAGCGCAGCCACATACCGGATTTTCCCGGCTTGCCAGGCTCGTGATCCTCGGCTTCATCGGCTTTCTCCACCTGTTCCAGACCATCCTCAATCTTGTCCTCCTCCTTGGGGGGCACCATCATAACTGCAGTTGTCTTCACACTCTTTGGCACAGGACCTGGATTCCCGATTACAACTTTTGGCAGTTTTTTGCCCTCGGTTACACGCGGAGGTTTATTCTGCTTGGGCAATGTCACTTTTACCACTTTGTCATCATTAACAGTGTCTTCCCCTTTCTTATCTGCAGGTAGAAAAAGCACCAGAAAGAAAGCAATGCTTATTTAACATCACAGCTAACCGCACAAAATTGGCGCGCAAAGTTTGCCGTGTGGTGTTGCGGTTACCAGGTTTCTCAACATCGGCCTTCTGTTCATCATCATCATCATCGGGTTGCTTCTTGTTCTCCGTTTCTTCTACAATGTCTGGCATCCCTGCATCCCCTTCTTTCTTTTCCACTACCAAAATGTAAACAAATTAAATTCAGCACTTTATTTTAACTATAATAAACACTTTAAAAAGCATAAAACAATGGCTTTCCAAACAAAGTAAATTGAGCATACAGTGAAATGCAACAGCTGTCGGTGTCAACTGCATAGAATTCAAACACTCACGTTTTCCCTGCTCACCATCAGGTGGCACATTTGCCTGCTCTGCTGGGATGTCGTTAGTCTCTAGTTTTTCAACCTTCACCTTTTCACCTACATTCTGCTCTGGCTTTACAGCATTCACTTTTTCTTTCTCAGGTGCCTTCGGTGGCTGTTTGGAAAAACATAAAAGGAAGCTGCAGGTACTGAACGTAATTTTGGAAAAGGAAATGTATTATATAAACATCTATACATTTACATCATTAGACCTCCTTTGCCAGTACCAAAATGTAATAATAGGGTTTTTCCCCTTTTTTTTTTCTGGCAACAAAACTGAAACCTTTTTACAAGGATTCATGTCTGCATTAACCACAATACCTGCAGTCAAAATGCAAACAAAAAACATACTATGATAATATATGCATTGTCCTTGAAACTGATTGGTCCACACCAAGGGACGGCTTTCTTTTGAGCCTCGACCCAATTGGTGCTCGACCAGATGACGCCAAAAGCTCAAAGACAATGCACTATCAAAGTAATGAGGACTCGGGGTGAGTATCTATACATTTAGCATACTTTACAATAATTAAATCGCCATGGTGAAATGGTCAATAGTAATATCAACAGTTGGCTTTCCGTCCTGCCCCATTTAGATGTAGGAATACAGGACAACAACTGTGCTTATCTTGTGTACATTGTCTTCAAAAGGTCTGCGCTCACATACTGGTGAATGCATTATACAAGGAACCCCATCACAAACCCAAATTTACATAAATGCTCACCCAATCCCACCCTTCTCTTTCAACGGTATTTAAAAAACGTGAAGATGTAAACCTTGCAAATTGTTTGCTCATGCGATTGTTTCTGGAAGGGCATCCACGAGAGGTAACTCTCGAGTGCCCCTTTAAAGTTTTTGTTTGGCCCATTCTTCCATGCTAACCAGATATAAGTTTGTTTGTTCTTCCCCCGCACCTCCAGTTAGTGTGGTTGAGTATGTATGGTGCGAAAGAAGTTCAACATATATATCTTGGAAGAGGTGGGAATACTACTGGACATGTGTAAAAAGAGCTTCATAACTCATCGGATTTCTCCAGGATAAATATTCTGATACCCACACTTTATCCCACCACGCGCAACATACCAATCAATGCACTGTGGTGTGCTCATTTCATCCTGCGCAGTGGACATAGGCATATTATAGCATCACGTGATATATTATATCAACAACTTACAATATCAACAACTTACAATATCTCTTTTTATCTTTTCCACTGCTTCTGCCTTGAGTTTGCTATTCTCTTTCTTGAGAGCTTCCAGTTTTTCCTCATACTGATCTTTCAGGGAAGTCAGCTGCTGGTTACACTGAAAGCTGCACATGACAAACGCAAGTTTACTTCAAAACAGCACATTCAACACATTCAAGGTGCATGAAACAAAACACTATGTGGAGAACATTCGTGCTCGTTTCCTCCCATGTGTACAAACTCTAATTGCCTGAAAACATCTTAATATATAGAGGACTTTAGAGCAATCTTTGGCACCGGCACACCACCTGGCAGCCTACCAGCTTGCCTGTGGTTTCCCAGCGATTGTGAGATGCAATTTCCACAAACGATGTTATATAAAACAAATAATTACATTTCATTTTTTTGTTTCTGAAAAAGTCCTGATATTCAGTGAGGCTTTCATGGAAAAGTAAATAACCTTATTATAGTAAGACATGAAAAATTACCACTAAGTGCAAAAGCCATCATTTAACATTTGTCAGACATGCCACCATCTTATTCTTTGGATCTTTCGGTAAAGCCACGTAGATAGATCAAATAATAAAACATAATAACAATATCACGACGTTTCGATCGCAACACAGGCAATCGTCATCAGGTGAGAAATATTGTGGGAGAGCTGCTGAGAATATTTTCAGAGAATACTCTCAGCAGCTCTCCCACGATCGAAACATCGTGATATTTTTTATTATTTTTTATTATTTAATCTACGTGGCTTTACCGAAAGACCCAAAGAATATTAATTCCTGCAGTCACGAAAGCTTTAAGTCAAGATGCCACCATCTATGCTAATGGTTCACTGGCTATAAATTCTAAGTCTTTTCCCTCGATCATGAGTTTTTTCTAAATGTAGCCAACACTCTGTAAAGTAAAACCTCAATATTCCGAAGCAAGTTATTTTTTTTCAGAAGTCACGTTGTCAGTGTTGTTTGTGTGATGATCCTATCTGCTGCCTTCTAACTAAATGCAGACATGCACTGTTAACAAATTTAAAAAAGTTAATTTTCTAAATTTCAGCCATCACTCAGGCTTAACTACACACTTAGTAAAGAGGGCAAGTTCCATTAAAACCTTCATCCATATGGACATTACCAAAGCTGACCCTTTAAACTGTATGAGAAAGCACTTGGCGTACATTCCTAACATACCTGTTATATTCCAGTCTTTGCTGGAGTGAAGAGGAGTTCCGTTTGTATGCATCCATTTCTCCCTGTAACCTGATGTACTCTCTCTGCAGCTCAACAAATTCGCCTGCAACAGACCAAGAGGAAGATTTTAGTCTTCCTTTTTTGTTTATAACAAGCGTGCTATCAAGACCACATCACAAGACGAAGAATATTTATTTCGTAACTGCTGATATAAGTGGATTTAAAACTCAATTCTTTAGAACTGCTTTTTGTTTAATTTGTTGTCCTTCCCCCACACATCCGATTAATTTGGTTGGCTACGTACGGTGCGAAAGAAATTCAACATACACTCTATGCCTGAGATTTGGAATATGTTGCAACTAAGTTTTTAAGTGACATTAGGCGGCCTGTTTATAAAAGCCAGGAATACCTTGTAATGCCTTACTTATTTTTCACACGGAATTTAAGCTGAAAATGTAAGTCTTAACAGCTCTAACAAGCCTAAATGAGTGAAAAATACTACTTGTTTTTAATGCAGTTATCGGTCACAGAACCAGGTTTAATCATGGATAGCTACTAAGATTCTAAACCACTCCAATGCCACATCCACATGCATGTTATGAGTTCATCATGATCAACTTGCATGCATGCGCTCAGTACCCTAATATTAATTATATGACAATTTTCTACATAATACTATATTACAATAGCCTATTGCAAAATATCAAATTCGAAAGCGCGTGTGTATAACACGTCGAACAAGTACATTGTGAATACTGGACGGACAAGGATAACCTGTTATATGGAACGCAGTTGTATAGGACATGCAAGCTTGCATGACATTTTTAAGAAATTCAACAGTAACCTGCTGTGTTTTTGCATACCATATTTGGACAATCTATACTATATGCGTTATATTATTATACACGTTATATTCTTATACATAATATACTGTACACACAAATAATGTAATGTGATGCCTATTTATTTGTGTACATGGTGGACAAGTTCTCACCTTGAATTTTCTTAAATGAAACTTGCGTGTCAGAAATGTTCCTTGCCATTAGACTCTGAAAGAATTGTACACACGTGCACCATACAAAGTTAGTATGACTCCAAATGATTCGATTTGCAGTTTCTTATTAAACGTTACTTCTAAAAAGCAAACACTGGAATATGTCACAATACACCGATTCATAAATCAAATATTTTTTATGCCCACGACACTTGCACTTAATTGCGTGCGAGAGGTGACGTTTTTCAATTTCTCCATGTCATATGTAAGTAATTGGTTCTTGTGCACCTCACCAGTCACCAGAGGCTGCTATATTTACCAGTCTAACAAAATATGTATTCTATTTAATTAAATCACGACTTTGGATTGTGAAGGAAGGTGGATCGTTCCATCTCCAATAACCACATATTTACAAATGCTCCACTTAAATCGCATTGCATCATCGGGGTGATGTGATTTAAAGTATACACACTCTGCCTCACTAACCTATGCACCAAATCATGCCAAGCGACTGCTTAATACCTTTCCCACAGATGCTCACATTACAGCTCTTTAAACATTACTGGCTTTCGTATCGAGTGCACAGATCTGCCCTGCACAAGGCCAATGTAGTTCTTTTGTACGTGGCATTATTGTATTTGTTTAGGATTTTTTTTTCTCTTTTACAAAGCCATGCAATAACAAAAGCCACAGATAATTACGTCATTTGCAAGAAAGTACTGTGTAGATTGTAACAGGTTATACGATATTACGTGCACTTACAATGTTTAAATAGAAGCTATATTTGATGGACTTCGATAGGGGTCAACTTTAGTATGAAAAAAATACGTGTTTTAAGCGGGAGTAATATCAGTTTTAGTTCACGTCAGAGCTAGCATTCAACACCACAACCAGAAAATGCCTCTGGGCTTGTATGTATGGAAAACTTATTTCGCCCCATACGTAGCCAACCGTGCTAATCGGAAGTGTGGTAAACAGAGATGCGTGTGAAGGATGCTTTGAATTTACGAACATATTGTAAATTGTGCCAGGAATGTGGTGTATATGTAATCACGGAGAGTAGGTTGTGATTGGTGTGGATGTGTGTATGTAGGATGGAGGATTATACTTCCAAGACTGGCATTTAAGTGGCACCTGGTGGTTGACAACCAAAAAGGGAAGCCCGAAAGCAAGATGGTGATGCAACACAACTGATGCTTTTGTAGTGTTGTTCACCTTTTAAAGAGGGAACAATATTTGGCGATACTGCATTGGCTTTGGGGCACACGCACGTCCACATATTATGAAGGGCTATCGCCCGAAACGTCGCCTATTATATACGTACCTTTTAAGGCAGTGTAATTGACCAAAGAGAGAACATAGGTCGATAGCAACTTTGCACTTTCAGGGTGAAGCAAGCGATTGCGAGGTGTTGTGGTGTTCATGGCAATGGCCATTGTCACATTACTGAACAGTGTGTGGCGGTACAGGCAATGCTGTTGTCTTTAAGGGCATAGATTTACATGATCTGAACCAACCGGATCTGGCAAGCATGGTAAACCTGAAATAGCTCTCACATCGCCAGAAACCAGATGAAACCAGAACCACTGAATTGTGCAAGTAATTTGCGCGTGGCAGAAAATACCAAAACACATTTATCCAACAATGCCATCATACAGTACAGGACATGAATATTATTAAGTGTTAACGTGGGTGAAATTAGCTATTAGGCGATGCAGTGCAGTAAATAATATTGCTTTTGAAAGCAAAACAAAACTCTTTAAATGCTTAGGTATTTTTTTTACAGAATTGTAACGACATGGTGATTTAACACTCACTGTATACCATGGGGTCAAATGCAAGTTTATATTCGTGTGGAGTTCTGATGTTAATTGCTGTGCCATTCACAAACTGGTCCGAATGGTTCATCCAGGGATATTTCATGTTTGATAGTAATCGTTTTGATGTCTGCAAAAGGGGCCCACAGTTGAGATAATTCTCCCACCTATATAAACGTCTGCGTAAATTTTGGCATTGCCGGGGTAGCAAAGCTGCCGAGACTCGTGTACATTTGCGCAGGCTGACAAGCGTGGTTCTGTTTTATAACTTCACACCTGAAGATAATTATCTATACTCAGACACGTGGATGTAAAATTAATCTTGCACTGAAAACGGCCATGGTTGATTATCTCACAGTGTTGGTTGCGTGAATCGTTGTAGTTACACTGAGAGGAGGGCCCATGCACTGGACATCTGGGAAAAAGAGCTTTGTAGCTCATTGTATTCCACCAGTCTAAATAAAGATTCTGATATTTGGTGAAAATGCTGTTCATTTTAATCAGCCTGTTTCTGTGGTGGTGGCGTCTACGATCGTGTGGTCCCGAATGAGCTTGAAAAATCTGACTGGCTGGCGACCCAGCTCCTACCACCAAGGCAATGTTCGTGATTGCGTGGGCCTGAAACGCGAGTTCAGCAAGGGACCGTCTTATCTACAAGGAGAGACAACACTTGGAACTCTTGTTGAGAAACAGCACTCCCGTGTTAACGGCACCACGTACCCATCTGTGTTTCACGAGACTTTCTTAATAAGTGTTTTGCTCTTATGTTAACATTATTTTGAAAACCGCCATCGCCTTCGGTGTCCAACCTGTCACCAATAAAAAAGAATAAGCTACTCTGCCTCACTATAGATTCTCAAAGTGAATTCCATTCCCTTGTATGTGACAAGATTACAATGTGGCAAATTAAGTTAGTACACAATTAATCGAAGACTTCAATCAATTGCGATGTACAAAAACCATCACCGAAAATCTAATTTTCAAACTACAATTACACATCACATTCAACATTTAGGGTCAACTGTTTAGGAAAACTGCATACTTTCAATGCCTATGCAGTAGTATGTAACTGCATTTATTCATTGCTGAAACGGATTTTTAAGCCCACAATTACATCGACTAGTGAAAGCAATGATTATGGTTTATGCAAAATAAATGCAAATTTAGGATAATCAAGGCAGCAGCCAACGGGAGGGAATGTGCCTGAGACTACGTCCACCACTGAGAAGGAACGATGAAATCAGCTAATGTACAAGTGCAAGGCGGATTGTTACTTCGAAGGACCGTGAGAGATGGCAACGCTTGTGGAGGCCTTTTTTGCAGCAGTGGTATGACCACAGCTCATGGTGATATCCTGTTATATTTAGGCAAATGGAGTGAATAATAATACATGAATAATATTGTACATGAGACAAAACAATCAACAAACAATACGTACAAATATGTTAAAAACAACAAAGAATATATTCCTGAAGAGAACCATGGCACCAAACCGTGACAATTTACTCAACCAATTGGGGTGGATGGCGAGGGAATCGATATACAGGGTTTATCGAACACGAGTTTTGGCTATACTGGGTTTAGCTAATGAGGTCTGTTTTCCGGCACACGGGGGTCATGTTTCGACTATCTGCAGTTTGACGTTGCTAAGACAGTCGTGAGATAGGTTTGCGAGAGGTGAGTGCGGCATCTGTTGGAAGGTACTACGGTGTTAATGAATCGACTGAGAGTGATTTATATACCATGTATGTTTTTGTGTGATCATCTAACACTCAACATGGTTAGCTATGTACGGTACGAAAGAAGTTCAACATACACGCACCACGCGCGCACACAGACAACGCAAATATTCACGCAGATTGACGCATGCATCTTGAGTCCACTCGTTGAGGACATTAGTCAGACGGATGCCGAGATGGTGACTGATCAACGTTCAAGCGACAGTGTTAGGGGTGGAAACGCGTGCCTGCAGTGCGAGAGGAGTCGTGGAGATGTGGGTTTTGTGTCGAGATGAAATTGAAAGTGCACACACACACACACGAGAAATGGAGAGCGACTCCGGCATCCTTTATAACAATTAAGGATGTGGTGTTAAATTTTGATTTAAAGTTTTCGTGACTGCAGGGATTCATATTCTTGGTTCTTTCGGTAAAGTCACGTAGAAGGGAAACAATAAAATAATAAAAATATTATTTTTATATTTGTATTATTATAAAAAATATATTTTTATATTATTTATGAGTTATCATATTAGGACGGGAAACACCAAATTACATTATACGACTGCGTAGGTTTATGCGGTGGCACTGTATAACCCTCCAATGTCTTTTGGGTTGTACCGTGAGTTATTTGGCATGATGTCTAATGTTTCGCTCCAGGTGCTGGACGATTTTTCAGGAACTGAATAAATTGATTTCAATCCATCAATTCAGTGTCTTGAAGAAGCTCCCAGCAGGCGAAGTGAAACACCAAACACTACTGATATCAACGCAGCCACGGTCATCTGCCTCACCTTCTCTCCCATGCACTGGTGGAGTTCTCGCTCTTTGTCCCTGAGCAGGCTGCCGGCTTGCATGAGTTCGTCCTTCTTGCTCTGCACCTCCACGCGGTGGTTCTCCACCTGGCCCGAGAGCTCGGCCGTGCGTTTCTCCACACGCACCTTGGCCGCCTCGAGCCGGTGCTTCTCCATGCCCAACTGTTCCAGCTCCTCGGTGAGGCGGTTGTTGCGGCCAGACACGATCCAGTAGTTGAAGGCCAGCACGGTGGACACCACCAGCAGGGCGGCCAGTACCAGAGGGGGCGCGCGGCCCCCACGTCGCGTCCCGCCGAAGCCCATCATTGTTGTACCGTCAGGCTGTAAACACCTTCTTGCAGAACTTTAACGCTGCACACACAATACAATACAACACAATGCAATTTGGGTTTATACAGCGTGTAAATGCAATTGCATTGTAATGCACCACAGAAAATAGTGGCCATATTAATGTAATATCGAGAGCCAGTCAGCCGTAAGCAGAGGAAAAATATGGCATTAAGCCTGGTCTTGAACAGGGGTAGAGGAGTCAACAGTGCAGATATCTGGGGGAAGGGAGTTCCAAACTAACGAGAAATCAAATGTGACGGCATGGTATCTCACCGCGTGATGGTTTACTTGGAACTTAGAATGTCTTAGATGCTGGAGCCGTATGTGTAGATGAGTCATTTAAGAGATAGACAGGAACGGGTCTATGATCTTGACATGCACCAATCTTTGCAGAGCAAATACTGTATATAACAATGTGTCACTTATGTTAAGAGGGACCTGTTGCAGTGACTTCAGAAGCAATTATGTAATGAAATCTTCCAAGGATGTTTTCTGACACAATGCACTTACAGCTGCAAGAATTCGGAATGGAAAAAAACTAAAATTAGTCACTTCAGTGAACTTATACAATGAATTACTGGAATTTCTGTAAAAGGCCAGTTGGCTTAAAAGTACTGTGCCTTTACTTTCCTCTCAGTGACAGTTAAAACAAATCCTGTAATTTCAATTCACCAATAATTTATTACCATTATTTTTTGCATAACTACAAGATTGTTCATTGCAACATAACTCTATATACAAGGAATTCTTAACGAAGGACATGATAATTAATTACATCAATCTGTGCCTGCAGCTGTATGATTTGTGCATATCTAAATTATCTCACTGGCAAAAATACCTAATAATGTTTATTGGTCAGCAAGTGCAGTACAGAAAAAACACATTCCTTATTATAATATATTAACCTTTTTACCATTGCAATCTAATGTAGCCCATCCAGTTTCAATGTAAATTCTTCATTGCAAAGGTTGGTTTAATATCTTTAGGTTGGGCCCACCTTTGCAATGTTTAGACACTATCCAAAAAGGCTTCTCACTTCTTTGGTAAATCGATGAGTAATGCCGATCTGACGATGCTGACGATATAAAACCCACTTCGCATCATGCTTACTTTATTTTAACAATTCCAACTGCACAAGCACCAGATTCCCATCTTGACAAATAGCCTAAACATTCACCTTACAGCTTTGCCCCATTACATCGGATGGAGATAAACGGCTTAGTTTCAGGCAAAGGAGTCGGGACGAAAATGGGGACATTCGCCGACACGAATATTCTGACCTCAAGTGCAATTGCACAGCTAACTCTGTCAAGACGTGAATAAGCCCACACCATTACCACGAGACTTCCAAACAAAAACACGATTAAATTTCGATTTAAAGCTTTCGTGACTGCAGGGATTCATCTTCTTGGTTCTTTCGGTAAAGTCACGTAGAATGGAAATAAAATAATAAAAGTAAAACATAATAAAATAAAATTCTCACGACGTTCCGGCTACAACACAAGTAGCCTTCTTCAGGTGAATGAACAGAACTGTCGGGACGACAGCGCTTCAATGAACACTGCTAAGCTTGGCAGCATCTTTTAAGCTGGGTGGGAGGAGCAGAGCGCCTTGACGAAGGAGTTTACATATCAGCAGAAGGATTTAGCATTGAAGTAGCTGTGTTAATGTGTTGGATTAGCAGGGTGTTAAAGTCAGAAATTAGCATGTAACTGGGAGATTAGCATGATGTTAGTGTGAGGGATTAGCATGTAACTGGTCACGGAAATAGCTATGTTAAATCTTCTTTGGTTCTTTCGGTAAAGTCACGTAGAATGAGAATAAAATAATAAATTGATAAAATAAAATAACACAATAATATTCTCACGACGTTTCGGCCACAACACAAGCGGCCTTCATCAGGTGAAGGGGGCGAGACTGTCTGGTAGGACAGCGCTGGAGTGAGAGAGCCACGTTCAGATCACGGCTTTTAAGCTGTGTGAGAGGAACAAAGAGCCTTGACAAAGGAATTAGCATAAAATTTAGCATTGAAATGGCTGAATGATTAGCTTGTGACTGGTCACAGAAATAGCTATGTTAAAAGTTAAAGCATACACATCCGCAGAGGCACCCATTGTTAAAAGGAATTAGCATAGAATTTAGCATTTAAATAGCTAAGTTAAGGCATACACATCCGCAGAGGCACCCCTTGACAATGGGATTAGCATAGAATTTAGCATTGAAATGGCTGAGTGATTCGCTTGTAACTGCTACAGAAATAGTTACGTTGAAGTCAGAGCATACACATTCACCGAGGCACTTAGTACAAATCAAACAGGAGAATTTAGCATTGAAATAACTAGGCGAATTTAGCATTGAAATAACTGGGTGATTTGCTAGTGACTGGTCACAGAAATGACTACACATCTGAGCTATTCACAGTACTATATAGTGAACCAATAAAAACTAAAATATAAATTACCTTCATGTTATCAATAAACTCTATATTCTCCAATCAGCTAAGCTACCAACCATAAGTCGTTATATATCACAATGCTATATGGAGGAATTTAGTACATTGACGCTAAAGAACTGCAACTACCCAAATATACAATAAGCCTTCGTCAAGGCGCTCTGCTCCTCCCACCCAGCTTAAAGACGCTGCCAAGCTTAGCAGTGTTCACTGAAGCTCTGTCGTCCCGACAGTGCTGTTCCTTCACCTGAAGAAGGCTACTTGTGTTGTGGCCGAAACGTCGTGAGAATTTTATTTTATTATGTTTTATTTTTATTATTTTATTTCCATTCTACGTGACTTTACCGAAAGAACCAAGAAGAAAAAAAAACACGATTCACAATTACTTTATTTTAGTTCGACCACGTAATCAAAAGTTAATTACGAATCATATTTGCCGCGGAAACCTACTTACAATAAACAACATTTGCCTGCTGCAGATAAAAAGGTGGTGATATCTTCTTTGGTTCTTTTGGTAAAGGTGGTGATAATGCGGGTTGTGGTAGTGTTAAAGGTAGGGGAGTTAATTAATGGTAACAGCAGTGGTGGTGATTATGGTAGTGATAGTGGTAACGACCGTAGTAGTAGCGACGGTAACTTTGTTTATCGTGGTGGCAATCGTGATGACGGCGATGGTAAAGAGGCGAACAACACAACCAGTGTACACTTGAACATAACCTTGAGTATTACCCATTGTCATTCAAATAAATCCAAGGGGAAATAACCAAATGTGTACGTATTACAACACGCAGCATTGTAATTCTATTCCCCCAATCGGCCATCGGGATATTGCCAACGTGTCACATCTCACATCCTCGTGGCTTGTGTACCCCCCCCCCACCCCTTTCAAAGACCCTATTGATTTACATTATTATTTGTTTACATTCGGTACAAAAAAAATAAGTGCCGTAAAAAACATCCCCCCCCCCAAAAAAACGATTAACTTAATCGTCTTCAACGCCAATGCAAATTTTGTTTTAACTCCACACCGACTAGGCCGTAGGCTGCGTACCGCTGTGGGACTGGTTCCGTAGCCGGGTTTGGGAGCGGCCGACGGGCAGAGACCCCGACCGCGCCGGCCCCGATCCCTCTACGGTCCTGCTGTCGAAATGACCCGAGGCCGTATGATCGTGCTTGTTGTTCAGAACTGTCCCGTGTGAATTCGACGAGGAATATTTTTTTTTCTTTATCGTGGATGTTATTTATAGCTATTTATAACCGTGTTGAATGCTGCCGAAGATACCTCTCACCTTCGCTCGCTGGCTGACAAGACCGAAGATGGAGACACTTCAGCTGATACACCGGCTTCCCGCTGCTGTTGTTGTTGATAGCGAGTGTTGTTGTTGCTGCTGCTGTTGCTGGTGAAAATTGATGGTGGTGGACCAGATTCTGTAATGGAACCATAAACAAAAGCGGAGGCGGAAGATTAAGCGGCTCGGCTCAGGGCTCCCCCCAGTGGGCGAGAGCCTCTCCCCGCCCTCTGTTGGCTTAGGCCCGGCCCTTGCTGTACGCCTTCGTAGCCGCACCGCCTTCTCCTCCTACTCACTCACTCAATCGCCCTCGTTCCCCGGTTCGTTCGTGTTCACCCACTAACCTCGGGCTTCGGCAACCGTTCGAAGGAGAGAAAATATTTTGGTTTGAGCCTTTGACCAAATTAATTCCCGGGGCCGCCATCACACGCGCGGAGGGCGACTTCTGCACAAACTTAGCGGCAGGAATTAAATAAACTTAATAGGCGATGGAATCAACACTTTTTTTCTGACAACAAAACTGACACCTTTTTTTTTAAATAAGGAATCATGTTTGCATTAACCCACAATACCTGCGGTCAGAATGCAAACAAAAAAAACAACTCTGATAATTGTTTGCATTCTGACCGCAGGTATTGTGGTTAATGAAAACATGAATCCTTGTAAAAAAAAGTGTCAGTTTTGTTGCCAGAAAAAAAGGGGTAAAAACCTATTCTTATATTTTGCTACTGGCAAAAGGAGGCCTCATGAAGCTTTGGGTTGTTTGACCCTGAACCAGTGATGGAAATTCCATATTCTTATTACAGGGGTCAGTCTGTGAAGGGTTAAGAGTTTTGATTTAAAGCTTTCGTGACTGCAGTAATTCATATTCTTAGTTTTTTCGGTAAAGTCACGTTGAAGAGAAACAACAAAATAACAAAATATATATAAAACAATAAAAAATTCTCACGACGTTTCGACCATAACTCAAACGGTCATCATCATGATGATGACCGTTTGAGTTGTTTCTCTTCAACGTGACTTTACCGAAAAAACTAAGAATATGGGTTAAGAGTTGTCCACCATTGTATTTAACCGACTTTGACAAATCGCCTGTCGACGTCTTTTTTAAAATTTGAGACCTCTGACATTTGGATGTGGATGGGGTTACGCATGAGATTGTCCAGATGGTCGCGTGAGATTGACTTCGTGGTATCGCGTGAGAGAATCAGACACGGGGGGGGGGGGGGGTTGTTGTCGTGGGGGCAATTGCTTTTTGAACATCAAAATCTTAAGCTTCGTAAAACGCACGCTTGGAATTAACATTGACGGAGAGAAACATGGACAGGTGAATTACATGGCAGCATTGCAACTACAGCGGTGGATTATTTGACAAGTCGCGGCCAAAAGAGTCGAGGAACAGATGGTCAATCGTCATAACGGCATGCATGTCAACCCACACGGTTTAACCCGTATTCTTGTAGAGGGAAATTGTGTTTTCAGGTCCACACGGCGTACAGCCGTTTCAGTACGGACAAAACAAACGTCCATTTGTGTTTCTCCCTTGTGTTGAGACTTTGTAGGATGAACGAAGAGATTTATAAGGGCACGGGGGGTGACCAATAAGGTCTGTGATTAGGGCACAGAGAAGGGGTTTGTTGACCGGGACGTGACGGTGTGGTGGCTAAAAAGGGAATGAAACCCATCCACAGAGGACGCGAAAAAAAACCCAGGAGACGGAGCGATGAAAGTAGCTCGTGTGCCGGTGGAATACTTTAACATCGTGCGATCGTGAAAGACGACAGGGGTATTTGGAGGGCTTCCATCCAGCAGTGGATCGAGAGAGGCTGAGTGGGGAGGAGGACGATTATTTTGGTGATTTCGAAAGCGTTTTTTGGTTTGGCCATGTTTTTTCTTTATTGTAGTACGGAGTTAGACTGATGGCCTTAATCTTAGTTATCTTGTGGTTGTTGTTGTTTGATTTGCATCCCACTGGGATTTGTTGCACACAGCGTTAGTGTACGGTGCTATTTCAGGAATATTTCGATGTTTTTTTTCCCTGGCTTTTCTGTTTGCACAGTCACATAGTCACTTTCAGATGTTTTCTTGTTCATGTTTTTTGTTTTTGTTTGTTGCGGTTGCACCCGATTCAAGAGCCGAATGGCTCACAGGGCTATCTATACCTAATAAATGGAACTAAATGGAACTAAGCCCCGCCTCTGGCCGAGGGGTCGGGGGTCACGGCCAGCTGTTCCTGGACGCCTGCGTCGTATTCCCTCGTCCTCCTCTTCCTCCTCCTCCTCCTCTGTCGGCACAAAGTCAGTGTTCCCCTTCCCTTCGATAAAAATTGAACCCTCCGCTCATTTTCGTCGTCTGTAGTTCGACTCCCGCTCGACCCGGTCGCTCCGTGGCCAATTCCTTGGCTTGCAAAAACAACCGAGACCGAGTAGGCCGCAGCCGAGGCCCCGTTCTTTCCTGGCGTGGCTGCCGGCGAAGGCGAGCCCTGCCCGGCGTCGTTATCAGAATGGCCAGGGGTGGTGGTGGGGGGGTTGGGCAGTTTTGCCGTAAGCCTCACCCGATAGTGACGGACATTTAAATGTTTTTTTCCTTCCCCATGTAGAGTTTTGCGATTTAACGTACGTGACGAAATGTGTGCGGTAATGCAACTGTTTATACCTTTAAAGGCCAATAAAACACATAACACGAGCGTCGCCAAAAGTACAGGAAATAACTTTTAAATAAAGGGAATATATCCCTTACTCAGGAAAGCCTTGAAGACTCGAGACTGTCAACAATACTGCAATTTTATAACATTGTGTGTGTGTTTATTTTATCGCGTCTACATGCGGGTGCGTCTGAACTTGGAAGTCATGCATATTGACGTTCGGCCCAATTACCTTTTAACGACTCTTGTTGTTTGGCACAGTGCAGAAAGATTCCGTTGCTGTGCAATAATCGCATGTCAATGTTGTGAATGTCGAAGGGTTAAACTTTACCCCGAGCAAGGACTGATGTTTTATTGACAATGTTAAGTACTATACTAAAACACGGATAGTCCGCTGAGGTGACTTTGGTTTTTAATGGAAACTTTTTTTTTAGTTTCTGAAGTTAATTAAATTACTATAAATTTCGATTTAAAGCTTTCGTGACTGCAGGAATTCATCTTCTTGGTTCTTTCGGTAAAGTCACGTAGAATGGAAATAAAATAATGAAATCAAAGAATAAAATTCTAACGACGTTTCGGCCACAACACAAGTGGCCTTCAGTTGAAGAAACAGGTCTATCAAGAAGACAGAACTTGAATGAGTTTTGTCTTCTTGATAGAACTTGAATGAGTTATGTCTTCTTGATAGACCTGTTTCCTCACCTGAAGAAGGCCACTTGTGCTGTGGCCGAAACGTCGTGAGAATTTTATTATTTTATTTTACTATAAATTACTCTCTACCAAACAGGAAACTTAGGTGCATTCCAAGAGTATTATATTTTAATTGTTCCTGAAATCCCTTATTGAAGGGTGGCTATTTCGAGCCATTGCTTGATTTTGTTATGAATACAGTGTAACTGGTTATATTATTGCAAGAGGAACTCGTTGTGATGGGATTCGTCATAACCCTACTGGGATTTAAACATACAGTATTGTTGCTTGACTATATTTGAGTGTGATATAGCTTTCAAAGCCCTCTAAGTAAAGATGGGTGGTGGTACAAGCTTCAGGGGGCCATTGTTGACCAATTAAAACACGTATCGATACAATTTGTGTTGTGGGACGCTGTAGTTAGCACCGAGTATCCATTTAAAAGTAAGGAAAATACTTTATATTCAAATACAATTTTAGACAAATTGAAGTACTGTACATTATTTTTTTAAATGGAATAGTTTCTTTAACAGCCGAGCACTTGTGTATCTAATGCGATGGATCCGTTGTTATAGTATGTTTGTGTTCCACAATCGGATGGAATTTGTCATGTTCAGCTTAAGATGAAACCTATTTACTGCATCTTCAATGCATTGGACAAAATATATTTTTGAGTAGGATAGGCTTTTTCGAAGGCGATATACAGTACATTTCTTCTCTTACTATCTACTTTACAAACAATTTATTTTACCAACTAAACAACAATTACGTAAAAAAAACGTGAATTGGAAATCTAGGTTAAAAACAGAGCTTACCATGTTATTTTTGTTACAATTTTTTTTATTGTATTTCAATAGGAGCCCAGTACAGAGCAAAAATTAGGCAGAAGGGGGGGTTGTACAGAAATTCCACAGACCACAGTCCTGCACATTGCATCTGGGTTTAAAGCAGGGTGGGGAAAGTGTGCTCGCCGCACTATGTAATTTAAAAAAAAATCCTTGAAACTCTTTTACAGCATGACTCACCTGCCCGAACCATCGGAGGTGTTCGAACCCGATGTGTCCCGCTTCCGCGTGCAGCGCCGCTCGTGGGATGAGCTCCGGGAGGTGGTGCGTGCCAGCCGCAAGCAGCAGAGCCTCATGGCCTGCAAGGCCCCGCACGAGTTCCAGTTCGTACGTTACGGCAATGAGGCCGACCCTCAGCGATCCCACCGCGTCTACTTCCTTGGTGCGACACGTGCGGGCAGTGGACACACATGGCACTTTCACGTAGCCATGGGCCCTTTCACTATCAACTTAGTAGTGATAGGGCACCAGAGCAAATTTAACAGCACTCACAATCCTTCATCTTTTTATAAAATAAGAAACTTTGCCAATCGACTGTTGGATGAAGGCCTCTGCACACCATGTCAGTAATGGGCAATCTCACTACACTTCACCATACTGGTTAGTGTGGGGGGGGGGGGGGTCCAGGACTGGTTCAGATATCATTTTCTGCTGATGTTAGCCATGGCTGAAATCAACGCACCGTTTTAATAATGCAGTATTCTAACCATTGCACCACCGCTACCATCCACTCATTCCTTATATATATAGAGACTTCATTTATTAATCACAGAATATACTTGAGAAATGTCATATAGAACAAAGGCTCATTCTGACTTGAAGGAACTTATTGGAACGAACCAAGGACCAATGTACAGTGAGGGAAAAAAGTATTTGATCCCCTGCTGATTTTGTACATTTGCCCACTGACAAAGAAATGATCAGTCTATAATTTTAATGGTAGGTTTATTTGAACAGTGAGAGACAGAATAACAACAAAAAAATCCAGAAAAACGCATGTCATAAATTGATTTGCATTTTAATGAGGGAAATAAGTATTTGACCCTCTCTCAATCAGAAAGATTTCTGGGTCCCAGGTGTC